AGACTGAGAGACAGCTTCTTCCATCAGGCCATCAGACTGCTGAACACGTCATAGACACCTCAGCTTCACTACTGGAACTTCAACACTATGCACTACACACTGTATATAAATGCCACTTGTTTTGCACATATTCAACTCTGTATATTTTTATATATTTATTTATTATTTTTTTTACTATCCATCCATCCATCCATCCATCTTCATCCGCTTATCCGAGGTCGGGTCGCGGGGGTAGCAGCCTAAGCAAAGAGGTCCAGACCTCCCTCTCCCCAGCCACCTCCTCCAGCTTGTCCGGGGGAATACCAAGGCGTTCCCAGGCCAGCCGAGAGATATAATCTCTCCAGCGTGTCCTGGGTCTGCCCCGGGGCCTCCTCCCGGTGGACATGCCTGGAACACCTCGCCCAGGAGGCGCCCAGGGGCATCCTTGCCAGATGCCCGAACCACCTCAGCTGGCTCCTTTCGATGTGGAGCAGCAGCTGCTCTACTCTAAGCCCCTCCCGGATGGCCGAACTTCTCACCCTATCTCTAAGGGAGAGGCCAGCCACCCTTCGGAGGAAGCTCATTTCCGCCGCTTGTATCCGCGATCTCGTTCTTTCGGTCACTACCCACAGCTCGTGGCCATAGGTGAGGGTAGGGACGTAGATCGACCGGTAAATTGAGAGCTTCGCTTTTACACTCAGCTCCCTCTTCACCACGACTGACCGGTGCAGCGTCCGCATTACTGCAGCCGCAGCCCCAATCCGTCTGTCGATCTCCAGCTCCCTTCTCCCATCACTCGCGAACAAGACCCCGAGATACTTGAACTCCTCCACTTGGGGCAGGAACTCATCCCCGACCCGGAGTGGGCACTCCACCCTTTTCCGGCTGAGAACCATGGCCTCAGATTTGGAGGTGCTGATCCTCATTCCCGCTGCGTTACACTCGGCTGCGAACCGCTCCAGTGCGAGCTGGAGGCCCTCACCCGATGAAGCCAACAGAACCACATCATCCGCAAAAATCAGAGATGAGATTCTGAGGCCACCAAAGCGAAAGCCCTCCGCCACTTGGCTGCGCCTAGAAATCCTGTCCATAAAAATTATGAACAGAACCGGAGACAAAGGGCAGCCCTGGCGGAGCCCATCACCCACCGGGAACGAGTCCGACTTATTGCCGGCAATGCGAACCAAGCTCTTGCAACGGTTGTATAGGGATTGAATGGCCCGTAGCAATGGGCCAGACACCCCATACTCGCGCAACACCTCCCACAGGACGCCCCGAGGGACACGGTCGAATGCCTTCTCCAGGTCCACAAAACACATGTAGACTGGTTGGGCAAACTCCCATGCACCCTCAAGTATCCTCGAGAGGACAAAGAGCTGGTCCAGTGTTCCGCGACCAGGACGAAAACCGCATTGTTCCTCCTGTATCCGAGGTTCGACTAGCGGACGAACCCTCCTCTCCAGCACCCTGGCATAGACTTTCCCGGGGAGGCTGAGGAGTGTGATCCCCCTGTAGTTGGAACACACCCTCCGGTCCCCCTTCTTGAAGATGGGGACCACCACCCCGGTCTGCCAGTCCACAGGTACTGCCCCTGATCTCCACGCAACATTGCAGAGACGTGTCAACCAAGACAGCCCTACAACGTCCAGAGCCTTCAGGAACTCGGGGCGGACCTCATCAACACCAGGGGCTCTGCCACCAAGGAGTTGTTTAACTGCCTTAGTGACCTCGCCCCCGGAAATTGGCGGGTCACACCCCTCATCCCCAGACTCTGCTTCCTCCCCGGAAGACGTGTCAGTGGGATTAAGGAGGTCCTCGAAGTATTCCTTCCACCGCCCGACAATTTTCTCAGTCGACGTCAACAGCGCTCCGCCAGCACTATACACAGTGCAGGTAGAGCACCGCTTTCCCCTCCTGAGACGCCTGACGGTTTGCCAGAATCTCTTCGAGGCAGTCCGAAAGTCTTTTTCCATGGCCTCTCCGAACTCCTCCCACACCCGAGTTTTTGCTTCAGCCACTGCCCGAGCCGCATTCCGCTTGGCCTGTCGATACCTGTCGGCTGCCTCCGGAGTCCCACAGGCTAACCAAGCCCGATAGGCCTCCTTCTTCAGCCTGGTGGCTCCCTTCACCTCTGGTGTCCACCATTTGGTTCGGGGATTACCACCACGGCAGGCACCAACCACCTTGCGGCCGCAGCTCAATGCAGCAGCTTCGGCAATGGAGACGCTGAACATGGTCCATTCGGACTCAATGTCCCCAGTCTCCCTCGGAATGCTGTTGAAGCTCTGCCGGAGGTGTGCGTTGAAGATCTCGCGGACTGGGGCCTCTGCTAGACGTTCCCAGCACACCCTCACTACGCGTTTAGGTGCACCAGGTCTGTCCAGCGTCCTCCCCCGCCACCTGATCCAACTCACCACCAGGTGGTGATCAGTTGACAGCTCAGCCCCTCTCTTTACCCGAGTGTCCAGAACATATGGTCGCAGGTCTGGTGATACGATTACAAAATCGACCTACGGCCTAGAGCATCCTGGTGCCACGTGCACTTATGGACACTCTTATGTTCGAACAGGGTGTTCGTTATGGCCAAACTGTGATTAGCACAGAAGTCCAATAACAAAGCACCGCTCGGGTTCAGATCAGGGAGGCCGTTCCTCCCAATCACGCCCCTCCAGGTCTCGCTGTCGTTACCCACGTGAGCATTGAAGTCTCCCAGCAGGACAACAGAGTCTCCAGGTGGAGCACCTTCCAGCACCCCCCCCAGGGACTCTAAGAAGGCTGGGTACTCCGAACTGCCACTCGGCGCATAAGCGCAGATGACAGTCAGGACCCGTTCCCCGACCCTAAGGCGCAGGGAACAAACCCTCTCGTCCACCGGGAAAAACCCCAACGTACCGGCAGCAAGCCGAGGGGATATAAGAATACCCACCCCAGCCCGCCGCCTCTCACCAGGGGCAACTCCAGACTGAGACAGAGTCCAGCCCCTCTCCAGGAGACTGGTTCCAGAGCCCAGGCAATGCGTAGAGGTGAGCCCAACTATATCTAGCCGGTACCTCTCAACCTCACGCACCAACTCAGGCTCCTTCCCCACCAGAGAGGTGACATTCCATGTCCCTATTGCCAGTCTTGGCAGCCGGGGGTCGGTCCGCCAGGGCCTCCGCTCCTGGCCGCCACCCGGCTCACAATGCACCCGACCCCTATGGCGCCTCCTGCGGGTGGTGGGCCTGCGGGAGGATGGGCCCATGTCTCCTCTTCGGGCTGTGCCCGGCCGGGCCCCATGGACTAAGGCCCGGCCACCAGACGCTCGCCCTCGGGCACCCTCCCCGGGCCTGGCTCCAGGGCGGGGCCCCGGTAACCCTATCCCGGGCAGGGTAAACTGTTCCCTCGATATTCTTTTCATGGGGGTCTTCTGAATCGCTCTTTGTCTGGTCCCTCACCCAGGACCAGTTTGCCATGGGAGACCCTACCAGGGGGCAAAAGCCCCCAGACAACATAGCCCCTGGGATCCCTGGGACACACAAACCCCTCCACCACGATAAGGTAGCGATTCAAGGAGTTCAATGTCTCCTTGCTATCTGGGTTGCTTGGGACAGAACAATGCCCAGTAAAGGACTTTGTACATTAGCAGTAGACATGATATAGGGTAAGGAGAAAGAGAGAGAGAGTTAGCTATTGTGTGTTGGGGGAGGGGTGACACAGGCTACAGCTCTGGTGAAAAAGCTGTTCTTTAGTCTGTTTGTGCGGGTTCTGATTGCCCTATATCTCTTCCCCGATGGGAGGGGTACAAAAAGTCTGTGACCTGGATGGGTTGGGTCCTTGATGATGCAGCTAACTCGCTTCTGTAAACAGCTAGCATAAATGGTGTCAAGATTCGGGAGTTTGGTTCCAATGATCCCCTGGGCAGTTTCGACAGTCCGGGTCAGAGCTTGACGGTTTTCTCCAGTGCAGCTGAAGTACCACACTGTGATACAGTGACAGAGGACGCTTCTGTAAATGTTTTCTTAGGAAGAAGAGTCTCTGTTGTGTCTTCTTCACTAAGTGGGATGTGTTAACAAAAGATCTCACATGGACTATTATGTGTAGGCCCAGGAATTTAATGTCATTCCCCCTCTCAACTTCCTCACCATTTATGTGGAGGGGTGGTAATGTTGTTTTCTTGGCTCTCCTGTAGTCTAAAAAGGTCGTTGTTTCCACATCATTCGATTTGATGTTGTACGTCCTCTCTGTAGTGAGACTCGTAGTTGTCTGAAATCCTCCCCACTATTGTAGTGTCATCAGCAAACTTCACTATGGTGTTAGAAGAGGAGTGGATGGGTTTGCAGTTGTGTGTGAATTAGGTGAAAAGAGCTGGACTAAGAATGCAGCCATGCGGAAGTCCTGTGTTAATGGGGATAGCAGATGATGTAAGGTTGCCCACCCTGACCGTCTGTGGCCTGTTTGTGAGGAAGTCCAAAATCCACGAGCAAAGTGTGGTGGTTAGTCCCAGGTCAATCAGCCTGATTACAAGTTTGTATAGCAGAATGGTGTTAAATGCCGAGCTAAAATCTACAAATAGGATCCCAACATACAGTGGCTTGCAAAAGTATTCGGCCCCCCCGACTCTGTTGCTGTCGTTCGGTATCGCTACATTGATCACTACAGCCATCTTCTTCTGTTTGTCTACCACCACTATGTCCGGTTGGTAAGCCATCACCCGTCCCTCTGTATCTGGAAGTCTCACAGGATCTTACCTTTGTCATTCTCCACCACCCTTGGGGGCGTCTCTCATTTTGACCTTGGGACTTCCAGGCCATATTTGGCACAGATGTTTCTGTGCTGGCCACTTGGCTATGGTGTTCCATGTATGCCCTGTCAGCTAGCATCTTATACCTTATCTCAAAGGCAGAGGCCACCCTGAAGATGAGCTCAGCTGTTTTGTTTGTCTTTCAAAAACTGTGAGACAATAAAACTATAATAAAGTAACTATCAGATTCACTTCAACAGAAAAAGGAAAACCCCCACATGAAACAAAAACAAAACAATTCAGTTTATTTATTTGAATTTTTTGAAGCTGAGTCGTGTACTTCTGCTTGTTAATTAAAAAGAAAAACTTTACAAGACTTCAAAAAGATATTCTAAATTAAAACCAGGTTATTTGGAGTACAGCACAATGTGTTATGCAGTAAGATGTAACATAATCTACATTTACAACTGTATAATACACATTATTGTAACCATTTAGCATAGCATTTGTTTTTTTTAGTTGCAATCAACACTTTATTTTTTTAATATAGACTAATTTATTCAGTTACATAGAGTAGATTTATTATCAGTATTACAGTAATATGACAGCCACACGATATCTGATACTGATTTTGCATTAAAAACTATTTGATTCATTCAAAAGAAGAAAAAAGTTTAGATGTGTCTTTACACATTTATACCGTTATGTACAAAAAGGAGCATCAAACCAGGGTTCCTGTATATTCAGCATATTAAAAGGGGATAATCTGGATAAAACCTACTTCGGGTACTTGTCACTGATACTTGTGTAAGTTCATGTCAGCTTTGGCTGGTCCACACCAGCTAACCCAGTGGTGTCCAAACCCAGGCCTCAAGAGTCGGTGTCCTGCAGGTTTTGGATGTGTTCTTGATCCATCACAGCTGATTTAAATGGCTAAATTACCTGCTCAATATGTCTTGAAGTTCTCAAGAGGCCAGGTAATAAACTAATTATTTGATTTAGGTGTGTTGACCAAGGCTGAGATCTAAAACCTGCAGGACAGCAGCCCTCGAGGCCTGAAGTTGGCCAAGCCTGGGCTACCCCAATATTTCTTAACAATTCTCTGATATTTATCATTTCTACAAAAGTTTCACTCATCTTAGTGACTTCTTCAGTCTCAGCTGACAGCAAGTTTCCCCGTAATATGATTATGCATAACTATGATTAAGGAACTGACCTCCTGGCCATTATTCCTACGGTGGGCTAGTATCAGTCATTATGCAAATGTTTGTAAGATTGGGGAAACCTGCAGTCAGCTGAGACTGAAGAAGTCACTTGGATGAGTGACAAAACATTTACTTTGACAGATTAAATCAAAATGGATCCTGTCAGTACCCCCCTCGCCATTTATCCGGGCTTGGGACCGGCACAAAAGAGAACACTGGCTTGTGGCTCCCTGTGTGGCTGGTTTGTGATTCTACAGGGAACTTTGTATTTTCTGCTGCTGGAACATAGACTTTATTGGGTGATTTCTTACAGTCCAATTCTTCAGCCTCTTTATCAGTTGGATAGAAAGAGGTATTATTCTTTTTGTATTTTTGGAAGCGCACTAAAGCAGTAATCACAACCAACACCATACCAAAACATGACAGAGAGACTAACACAGAGACTGGCAGTGCTTTTTTTCTGGTAGGTTCATCCTTCTTCCCTTTATCCTCCTTCCCTCCATTGGCTGTGTGTCCTCCTGTCTGACCTGCAGGTGAGAAACAGGTGTGAGGTGTCAGCTGCCAGGTAAGTGATGAGTGAAGAATAGAACAGAACAGAATCCATTTCCTCTTCAAACTGCCCTCTACGGCACTCTGATCACATCACTCAGACCAGCTGATTATAATAGCTTGGTAATATTTAGTCTTCTACTGTGTTTGGTGTGACCTTATAAGAATCTTTACCAAACGAGTGGTTTTTGTTTTAGATTTTATTTTCACCTCTACTTTAGTTGCTGTGGTAGTGATATAAATTCAAGTATACCCACCAGGTAACTGCTGCCATATTCTCCTAAACAATAGGCATCACCACTCAGCTCAGCTCACCTCCAGATCAGCATTAATGTAGGAGGAAAAACAGTTATAACCACAAGTTTTAGTTGTTATTTAAAGTTTTTTCCCATGACATCTCCTCTTTTTAAGGAGTTGTAACATACCTCTGTACAATACGTGAACTCGATTTTATACTCATCATGCAAAGCACTTGATTTTCTTTAGCTGACATAATTGAACATTTCAGTTACATAAAACAGGAATTCTGTTTTATGTAATGTATAACCTATATAATTGTGATGGTCAAACCCGTGGCCACACTCTAACGTCGGTAACTTTTGTATTTTCATTCTTCATTTGAACATAGTAATACATTTTAGTTACCAATAACTTTATTGATTGGTTTGGATACATTTGTTCTATTTGTAAGTGTGCACATTTAGTTTACATATGTATTCATACTACATTTCTTTGATTTTTGATTAACCTTTGTCTTTTTATTTCTTACCTGCTATCATCCCTGGGAGTTGCTGGACAAAAGATGGTAGCCAGGGTTTGAAACCATTAAATACAAAGGAAGATAATTGGACCACACCACCACTTCCTGCTGAAGGGGCGAATGTGTGTTTTCTTTACTTTTAAAAAAAAGTATTTGTATTTAATTAAATATTTGAGTTTAGGGTTTAATGGGGTTTTTGATTTTCTTCTTTGGTGTTTAGTTTATTAACAAACTAGATTGTACTGCATCGTTTGTGATTTATGATTGTGTTTGTTTGTTATCCCTCATGTATCACAATGGTCTGATCAGCCATTATATATACCCTTGTATGTCATTTCATGTTTAGGTCAGTTATGTTAGTTTGTAGCAGTCATTTGTTTTTATACGATTCATAAATGGGACACTGGACTGTTTTATCTTTTATCTCTTAATATTTTTTTGTCAATAAATTATCTTTTAGAATTTTATTGACTGTCATCTTTTTGCCCACGACTGAGACGGTTGGTCAGACCTAGAGTCTTTCTTTGGGTGTGTTACAACTGGCGTCGTCGACAGGATCTGGCCACCATAATCTGGCCACCATAATCTGTAGTGGGCAAAAGCAAGATGACTGATCAGAGTGAATCACAGTCTGGCCCAAATAGAGAAGCACCAGTTTCTAGTGCAGGGTTTAGGCCCTTTGGTATGATCCCTATGTTTAATATGGTCACAACTAAATTTAGAGGGAAGGATTCAGATATTAGTCTAGGTGAATGGAAAAGTAATTTGCAGACAACATTTGCTTTGCAAGGAGTTCCTGTAGATTTTAGAGCAGAATTAACACTCTGTTGCTTAGAAGGCAAGGCTAAAAGAGAGATTTTAATTCTAGCACCAGAGAAGCGTAATTCACCTGAGCTAATTTTTAATGAGTTAGATAAGTTGTATGGGGATAAAACAACTGCTTCGGTCCTGCGCTCTCAGTTCTTCAATGCTCGTCAAGAAACACATGAAGACATCAGTTCATTTGCACTGAGATTACAAGAACATTTTCTCAGGTTAAAGAGGAAGGACCCTAGAGGTATGAATGACGGAGATATTCTTCTCAGAGATCATCTGGTTGAAGGCTTGAGAGACACTGCCCTTAGAGGTGAATTCAGAACAAAAATTCTAATGAATGATCAGTTGACATTTGCAGAAATTAAAGCAGAACTAATCCTGAGGGAACACGTTTATGGTGAAATGGTTGATCCAGTCCAGTGTTTTGCTGCTAAAGGTGAAAGATACAAGACCTGTAATGCTAAGGATATGGAACAGATCAAATCAGAGTTGTGGGAGGACATGAACAAGCAAATGACCACACAATTCAATGATTTATCACAGACCTTGATCAAAGAAATCCGATCAGAACTTCATCAAGCTACACAAAAGACTTTGGACTGGAAACAGACTGACCAGTACAGATCAAGAAAGAAAGGCGGGAGCAGACCCAGAGTTTACTCAAACAGGTATGATGAACAAGGTAGCCCCATCTGTAACACTTGTTCCCAGCCAGGCCACATAGCTCGGTTCTGTAAAAGCAAGCCTAGATCTGGATCGTTAAACTAGACGACACCACTGTGGCGGCCAAGACAGTGGGTTGTGTCGAAGCCAATGGGCCTCAAACTGATGTGAAAAAACTGATTGGAAAAGTTCCTAAAGTCAGCTTGTGTCTTGATGATGTCCCAATACAGTGTATTCTGGATACTGAATCAAATGTGTCACTGATAAAGAACAGCTACTTCTCTAAACACTTTGGCAGTAATGGTATGAAATTGAAGGATGCAAGCAGCTGGCTGGTGCTCGAGGCTGCTAATGGACTAGATATTCCATACCTGGGTTATGTATTGCTACATGTGAAGATTGGACAGGTGGAACTCCCTGAATGTGGTTTTTTTGGTGATTAAGGACCAATGTTTAACCGACAGTGAAGGCGTCCTGGGTATGAATGTTATTTCACAGTGTTACGAAAAAATGGATCAGGAGAAGCCATTAGCCTACCTCTCCTCTAGTGGAGCCGAACAGAGAGCTTGGACTACCGCTTTTCAGATTTGTGCCAGTCAGGCACGGTTTGCAGCTTTAGATGGGTCCATTGGGTATTTACGTACCATAAATCGCCATCCTATACAGATTCCCCCTTGGAGTGAGATGTTGGTTTGGGGTTGTACGAAGACTGGAGTGGACGGCAGGGATTATCAATGCCTGGTGGAACCTGTCGAGGTGGGTGAAGTCTTAATTGCTAGAACATTATCTACAGTCCATGATGGGAGGCTTTTGATTAGGGTCCAAAACCTTAATGACTCACCAATGTACCTTTACAGACATCAGAAGTTGGCTAAGACTTTTATTATTGACCCAGCAGATATCATACAAGAGAATAGTGTGAACATGACTCGTGTTGGTGTAAACACAGTTAGAGTGAGTATGGACCAAACGCAAGCCCTGCCCAAGGAGAAATGCATGTTCCCTGATTTAACTGGTCTTCATTTGTCCACAGAGGAATTCGAGAAACTGCAGGCTTTATTGCTTAAGCACCGAGCAGTGTTTGCTGTGCATGAGGAAGATTATGGATTGACAAGCACCATGCAGCATTCAATTCCTACGGCCAATGCTGCACCAGTCCGTGAGCGCTATAGACAAATTCCACCAAAGTTATATCAGGAGGTGAAGAGTTTGATTCAAGGTATGTTGGATGCTAACATCATTGTGTGCCTAGTTGCAGTCCATGGGCTTCTCCGATTGTGTTAATCCGTAAGAAGGATGGGACATTTAGATTTTGTGTGGATTATCGTAAACTTAATGCTGTGACCCATAAAGATGCTTGCCCTCTTCCAAGAATAGAAGAGTCACTTGCCAGTTGGGGAACGCAAAGTATTTTTCCACACTTGATCTTGCCAGTGGATATTGGCAGGTTGGGGTGTCCCCACCAGACAGAGAAAAAACAGCCTTCACTACACCCATGGGTTTATTTGAATTCACCAGAATGCCCTTTGGCTTGTCAAATGCACCAGCCACCTTCCAAAGGTTGATGCATGTATGCCTGGGTGAAGAAAACTTACAGTCTGTACTTGTCTACTTAGATGATGTAATAATCTATTCTCCAGATTTTGACACCCACTTGGTTCATTTGGATGCAGTCCTTGGTAAACTGTCAAAGCATGGCCTCAAATTAAAACCCAAGAAGTGCTGTCTTCTAAAACCAGAGGTTCAGTATTTGGGTCATCGTGTTTCAGTGAAAGGGATTGCTCCAGACCCTGACAAGATTAAATGTATTCAAGAATGGCCTATTCCAACAACTGTGAAACAATTACAATCATTTCTGGGTCTGGCAGGCTATTATCGGAGATTTGTGAAAGATTTTGCAAGAATTGCCCAACCATTAAATCAAATATTAGTTGGAGCATCACAGAATTCTAAGAGGAAGGATGTTCCCTTGTCCACTAAATGGAACTCTACATGTGATACAGCCTTTAGTTCTTTAAAAATGGCTCTAACATCTGCACCAGTGTTGGCTTTTGCTGATTTTAATCTACCCTTCATCTTGTACACAGATGCCAGCAACCAGGGCTTAGGAGCCGTACTTGCACAAGTTCAGGATGGAAAAGAGAGAGTGACTGCTTTTGTTAGTAGGAGTTTAAGTTCCCAATGTAAAGCCTGTGTTCTGCGTTAAGCGGCTGCTGCGAAACATGCTCCTTTGATTTCCATTAAGACATCTGCACCTAGAGCTGGGCGATATAAGATTTTTTCATATCACGATATGTTTTTTTCATTTCAGACGATAACGATATCTATCATGATATAAGCCAAATAACTATATTTGTAAGATTTAAATGTGCCGTTGCTCACAAGTAAAATGTGAAATAATCAGCAGCTTGTTTTTATTTAAATATTTATTTCCTATAATAAGTTCAACAGGGTAGATGTACTTAAGGAACATGAGACTTTTTCAGATAAATAAAGGCAAATATTGCAAACTACACAAAAGGCAGCCGCTAAAGCGTTTAAGTTTCAAAATAGAACAAAGGAAACAGATTACTAAATTGTCAATTCCACTTAGTCAGTTTTGTCTGTTCTTCTGTAAAACAAACTAAGATTTATTTTTAGAATTAATATTTTGTTTCTAACTTTTGTCAATATCAAATAAACAGAACTAAAAGGAAATTCTCAATCTCTCCTTCTTGTATAGCTTAGCTTTTCAAACAA